CTACTATGGACATCGTCCTCGGGGACCGTTCGAGCACGCCACCGTACATGCCATTGCAACGAATGCAACTGCTGTCGAGTTATAATATTGTGTAGGCTATAGTGGGGTAGCCCATATGGGGTACATATTGCTAGGGTTGCATATTTGTATCACTTCCATTCATAGTTCATTCATCCTTGTTCTCATTTCCTCATGGTATCGAGCAGGTTCCCCTGTGGGAACTGTGCCTAGGGCCCACCACTTCGAATTTTTTTTCTGCCCGAAGCGCGCTCCGCCCGAGTCGCGCTCTCACCTCGTCAAGCCGCCCTAGCGGCCCCTACGCCCTAGCGGCCCTCCCTCCCTTAGCGGCCCTGCCGCCCGTTCGTGCGGCCCCGCCACCTGCTAGCGTGGACCCGCCGCCCTCATTTGCGGCCCCGCCGCCCTACTTCGCGGCCCCGCCGCCCTACTCTGCGGCCTCGCCGCCCTACTCCTGCGGCCCCGCCGCCCTACTTCGCGGCCCCGCCGCCCTACTCTGCGGCCTCGCCGCCCTACTCCTGCGGCCCCGCCGCCCTACTTCGCGGCCCCGCCGCCCTACTCAGCGGCCCCGCCGCCCTGCCCCTGCGGCCCCGCCGCCCTACTTCGCGGCCCCGCCGCCCTACTCAGCGGCCCCGCCGCCCCGCTCCTGTGGCCCCGCCGCCCTACTTTGCGGCCCGCCACCCTACTCCTGCGGCCCCGCCGCCCTAAGTCGCGGCCCCGCCGCCTTACTCGGCGGCCCCGCCGCCCTACTTGTGTGGCCCCGCCGCCCTACTTCGCGGCCCCGCCGCCCTACTCCAGCGACCCCGTCGCCCGTCTGCTGCGGCCCCGCCACCCCTCTCAGCGGCCCCGCCGCTCTCGACTCCTGCAGCGCCGCCCGAGCCGCCGACCGCCGCGCCGCCCTGCAGCAGCACGCCCAAGCTGCAGACCACCGAGCCGCCCAGCAGCAGAGGAACCGAGCCGCCCTGCCGCCGAGCCGCACTACAGCCGAGTCGCCCGGCCGCCCACCAGCCGAGCCGCCCAACAGCCGAGCCGCCGAGCCGCCGGGCCGCACAGCAGCCGAGCCGCCGAGCCGCCCTAGCAGCCGAGCCGTAGAGCCGCCGAGCCGCCCGAGAAGCCCTGTCCGGTGAGCACAGCCTCTCTGTCACTGCGTGCCCTTCCCCTACTGCTTGCACTGCTCGTCTACGGTTGTCATGGCTACCCCTAGTGTCCCACCACTCTCACTGTTGACCTCCTAGAGAAGGCCCTCCTAGCAGCGGAGAAGAGCATAGTCGCTGTAGGAGCCTCTCGTGGTGACCCTCGCACCCCCATCTTTGAGGGGTGTTCTCCTTCCCCCCTGTTGCCCTCTGTTGCCTCTGCTGCTGCGGCCGACCTACTTGGTCTTGAGTCGGTCGGTGCGGCGTCTGTCCCTAGCGGGAGACGCCGCTCTGGCAAGGGCAAGGGGGGCAAGGGCGCGGGTGGAGCTAGCGGGGGTGGTGGAGGTGGCGATGGAGGCGGCCAAGGGAGTGGGGGTGGCGGTGGGAGTGGTGGCGGGGGTGGTGGTGGTGGTGACACCAGCGGAGGCGGTGGCGGCGGCGGCGGTAGCGGTGGGAGCGGAGACGGCGGTGGTGGCGGAGGTGGAGGCGGCGGTGGCGGAGGAGGTGGAGCTGGTCGGGGTGGTGCCTCGCAGCGGAGCGGCTCTGGTGGTGGTCAGCGCCAGCAGCAGCAGCAGCAGCAGCAGAAGCAGCAGCAGCAGCAGCAGCGTTCTCGGGACATTCCCCCTCCTCAGCTACTCCGTGAGTGGTACACGCAGCGTCAGCGTGGTGGGGGCTTTGGTCCGTGCACCTACGTCCTTCGCTCCGGCGACCGCGCGGGTGAGCAGTGTAGGGGTGCCCACCCCACCCAGCGCTGCTTTGGCCGCCTGACGGACGCTTGGCGTCAGCAGTTCCCCGAGGCTAGTGAGATCCCCCGCTGGGGAGAGCTGTCTAGGGCAGGTGTAGCTATCTATGAACTTGACTTTGATGCTATCCTTGCTGCCATGTATGCTGTGACTATTGGTGATGAGGGTGACTGTTGCCGGTGTTTCCCGCCCGACCCAGGCATTGGTACTGCTGCGCTAGGTGCTCGTGAGGCTGCTGCTCTAGGTGCCAGCGCGTCTGCGCCCTTAGGTACTGGTGAGGCTGCGCTCTCAGGTACCACGTCCGCTTCGGCCTCCTTCACCTTCACACTTGACTCGGGGGCTTCTCGCTCCTTCTTTCGAGACCACACCACACTCACGCCGCTTGGTCGGCCGGTTGCGGTCTCCCTGGCTGACCCTTTTGGGGGTCCTGTCCTCTCTCACTTCTCCACTGTCCTCCCGTGTCCGGCTGCCCCCTCGGGCACCTTGTCTGGTCTTTACCTCCCCTCGTTCTCGACGAACTTGGTGAGTGGTGCTGACCTGCAGGATGCGGGGGTTCACCAGTTTACTCCTGCGAGTCAGCGGGTGACCCACTGCTCGGACGCCCGCACAGGGCTACACCTGGCCACGTTTTCGCGCCGGCTGGGGTCGAGCCTCTACACCCTGACCACTGCGTCTCCTCCAGTCCCTGCGTCTGGCCAGGTAGCTGCGTCGGGTCAGGTGTTTGCTGCAGCGTCCAGGTCTGGTCCTAAGTCTGCTCCCTGCTCGTGTCGCCTCCTATCTCACGAGACTCTCCTGTGGCACCACCGTCTTGGCCACCCCTCCCTGCCTCGTCTTCGGGGCATGGCTTCCCGTGTCCTTGTCTCTGGTCTTCCCCAGTCCCTCCCTCCCCTTCCTTCGGGGCCTGGTCCTTCCTGTGTCCCTTGTGTCGAGGGGCGGCTCCGGGCTGCCCCTCACTCCTCTCAATTTCCCCCGACAGAGGCTCCACTGCAGACGCTTCACATGGACGTGTGGGGCCCGGCCCGCGTCCGTGGACAGGGTCACGAGCGCTACTTCCTGCTGGTGGTTGACGACTACTCGCGTTCCACCACGGTCTTCCCCTTGCGCAGCAAGGGTGATAACACTGAGGTGTTGATCGACTGGATCCGTGCGGCTCGTCTCCAGCTCAGGAGGAGCTTCGGCTCGGACTTTCCTGTTCTGCGTCTGCACTCTGACCGAGGCGGAGAGTTCTCCTCAGGCCTTCTGCGAGCCTACTATTGTGCGCGAGGCATCCGCCAGACGTTTACGCTTCCGGACTCTCCACAGCAAAATGGGATTGCTGAGCGCCGCATTGGCATGGTCATGGACGTCGCTCGTACGTCCATGATGCATGCGGCTGCCCCGCATTTTCTGTGGCCGTTTGCGGTTCGGTACGCAGCGCATCAGATCAACCTTCACCCCGGGGTCTCCCTGCCGAAGACCTCCCCAGCTCTGCTGTGAACGGGGAAGGTCGGCGATGCGTCTCCATTCCGTGTCTGGGGATCTCGGGCGTTTGTCCGCGACTTGTCTGCGGACAAGCTGTCCCCTCGTGCTGCTCCCTGTGTCTTCCTTGGCTTCCCCCCTGACACACCAGGGTGGCAGTTCTACCACCCCTCCTCTCGTTGTGTTCTGTCCTCCCAGGACGTCACGTTCGACGAGTCACTCCCCTTCTACCGCCTCTTCCCCTACCGCACTCCTTCCCTCCCCCCGCCGCCGCACTTCCTTGTGCCAGGTCCCCCCCCGGTAGACCCCCTTCCCCCTCAGGGTCCTGCCCCTTCCGGTGTGTCCCAGGTAGACGCGGTCGACCAGGTCGAGGTTGCTGGTGACTCTGGTACTGCTGCGGGTGCTGAGCCTGGGGGTGCTGACTCTGGGGGTGCTACGCGCGTGGGTGCTGAGTCTCGGGGTGCTCAGCCTGGGGGTGCTGACTCTGGGGGTGCTGCGCGCGTGGGTGCTGAGCCTGGGGGTGCTGAGTCTGGGGGTGCTGCGACTGGGGTTGCTGAGCCTGGGGGTGCTGAGCCTGAGGGTACTACAACTGGGGGTGCTGAGCCTGGGGGTGCTGAGCCTGGAGGTGCTACGTTAGGAGCTACTGAGCCAGGGGGTGCTGCGTCTGGAGCTACTGAGCCTAGAGGTGCGGTGCCTGCGGCCGCTGGACCTCCCCTTGTGGCGTCTGGCGGTGCTGGGCCTGGAGGTTCTCCGAGTGCTTCGTCTCGGCGGGAGCCACTCCGAGTTCTGTGCCAAGAACCCTACCCCCATGTACATCACCCTTTACTACATAGTCGCCCGGCTCCCTGACTCCCTTCGCTTAGTCAGGGACCACTTCCTCTCAGTTTGCCCCACCACACTCACCGTTGACCTCCTCGAGGAGCGCCTCCTAGCAGCAGAGAAGAGCATAGTCGCTGTAGGAGCCTCTTGCGGTGACCCTCGCACCCCCGTCTTAGAGGGGAGTTCCCCCTCCCCCCTCTTGCCCTCTGTTGCTTCTGCTACTGTGGCCGACCTCGTTGGCTTCGAGTCGGTCAGCGCTGCGTCTGCCCCTAGCGGGAGACGCCGCACCGGCAAGGGCAAGGGGGGCAAGGGTGCTGGAGGGGCTAGCGGGGGCCGTGGAGGTGGTGGTGGAGGCAGTGGAGGGGGTGGGGGTGGTGGTGGGAGTGGTGGCGGGGGTGGAGGTGTCGGTGGCAGCAGTGGAGGCAGAGGAGACGACGGCGGTGGCGAAGGGAGCGGAGGCGGCGGAGGTGGCGGAGGCGGCGGCGGCGGCGGTGGAGCTGGTCGCGGCTCTGCGCAGAGGAGTGGTTCCGGTGGTGGTCTGCGCCAGCAGCAGCAACGCAGTCGTGAGACCCCGTCCCCCCAGCAGCTTCGTGAGTGGTACGCTGGGCGTCTGCAAGGTGGGGGTACTGGTCCATGCACCTACGTCCTCCGTATCGGCAACCGCGCTAATGAGCAGTGCGGGGGCCCGCACTCCACCCAGCGCTGCTTCGGCCGCCTGACGGACGCGTGGCTTCGCCACTTCCCTGACGCCACTGAGATCCCTCGCTGGGGAGAGCTGTCTAGGGTGGGGGTTGCTATCTTTGATCTTGATTATGATGTTATTCTTGCTGCCATGTATACTGTGTCTACTAGTGATGAGGGTGACTGTTATCTGTGTGTTCCGCCTGACCCGGGCATTGAGGCTGCTGCTCTAGGTGTTGGTGAGACTACTGCTCTAGGTGCTAGTGCGCCTGCTCCCCCAGGTGTTGGTGAGTCTGCGCTCTCTGGTACTACGTCGGCTAAGGCATTTCACACCTTCCCCCTTGACTCGGGTGCTTCCCGCTCCTTCTTTCGAGACCGCACCTTGCCTACGCCGCTTAGTCGGCCGGTTGCGGTCTCCCTGGCGGATCCCTCTAGGGGTCCTGTCCTTGCTCGCTTCTCCACTGTCTTACCGTGTCCGGCAGCCCCCTCTGGCACCCTGTCAGGTCTCTACCTCCCCTCTTTCTCTACGAACTTGGTGAGAGGAGCTGATCTACAGGATAGGGGGGTTGACCTGTTCACTCCTGCGAGTCAGCGGGTGACCCAATGTACGTTTGCTCGGACGGGCCAACACTTGGCCACGTTTACCCGTCGGTCGGGGTCGAGCCAGTACACACTGACTACTGAGTCTCCTCCGGTTGCTGAGTCTAGTGAGGTAGCTACATCGAGTCAGGTGTTTGCTGCAGCGTTCAGGTCTGGTCCTGAGTTTGCTCCCTGCTCGTGTCGTCTCCTGTCCCACCAGACTCTCCTTTGGCACCACCGCCTTGGTCACCCCTCCCTGCCTCGTCTCCGAGGCATGGCCTCTCGTGTCCTTGTCTTTGGTCTTCCCCGGTCCCTCCCTCCCCTACTTCCGGGGCCTGTCCCTAACCTGCGTTCCCTGCGTTGAGGGGCGGCAGCGCGCGTCCCTCACTCCTCCGAGTTTCCTCCTACAGAGGCTCCGCTACAGACTCTTCACATGGACGTGTAGGGCCGCGCCCGCGTCCGTGGCCAGGGTCACGAGCGTTACTTCCTGTTGGTGGTTGACGACTACTCCCGTTACACCACGGTGTTTCCCTTGCGCAGCAAGGGTGACGTCACTAAGGTGTTGATCGACTGGATTCGCGCAGCTCGTCTCCAGCTCAGAGAGAGTTTCGGCTCGGACTTTCCTGTTCTGCATCTGCATTCTGATAGAGGCGGGGAGTTTTCCTCTGCCCGTCTAGGAGCCTTCTGTCGTGCACAGGGCATCCGCCAGACCTTCACGCTTCTGGCATCTCCACAGCAAAATGGGATTGCTGAGCGCCGCATTGGCATGGTCATGGACGTCGCTCGTACGTCCATTATCCATGCGGCCGCCCCCCATTTTCTGTGGCCGTTTGTGGTTCAGTACGCAGCGCATCAGCTCAACCTTCAGCCCCGGGTCTCCGTGCCAGAGGCCTCCCCCACCTTGCGGTAGACGGGGAAGGCTGGCGATGCGTCTGCGTTTCGGGTCTGGGGATCTCGGGCGTTTGTCCGCGACTTGTCTGCGAACAAGCTGTCCCCCTGTGCTGTTCCCTGCGTCTTCCTTGGCTTCCCCCCTGACAAGCCTAGGTGGTATTTTTACCACCCCACCTCGTGCCGTGTTTTGTCCTCCCAGGATGTCACCTTTGACGAGTCGGTACCTTACTACCGTCTCTTCCCCTACCGTACTGCGCCCCTCCCCCCGCCGCCGCTTTTCCTTGCGCCAGGTCCTCCCCCGGTAGACCCCCTTCCCCCTCAGGGTCCTGCCCCGTCAAGTGTGTCCCAGGTAGATGCAGTTGAGCCTATCGAGGTAGCTGTTGACTCTGGTGCTGCTAGAAGTGTTGAGCCTGTGGGTGCCGGGTCTGGAGGTGCTGAGCCTGGGAGTGCGGAGCCTGGGGGTACTAAGTCTAGGGGTGCGGAGCCTAGGGGTACTGAGCCTGGGGGTGCTGAGCCTGGGGGTGCTGAGCTTGGGGGTGCTGAGCTCGGGGGTGCGGAGCCAGGGGGTGTTGGGTCTGCTCGTGTGGCCTCTCGCGGTGCTTCGTCGAGGTGGGAGCTACTCTCTCCGCAGGAGCTGCGCGAGTGGTTTGCCCGGCGCTGGAGCCGTGCTGCTGGAGCTGGAGGTGCTACTATTGCTGCTGGTCGTGGAGGTGCTCGTACTGACGGTACTGGAGCTGCTGGGACTGGGGGTGCTGCTGGGGTTGCTGGAGTTGGTCCTGCTGGACGTACTACTGGAGCTGACGGTCCTTGTGGAGCTGGAGCTACTAGAGCTACTGGAGCTGGAGCTGCTGGGGGTGTTGGCGCTGGTGGTGCTGCTGGCGCTGGTGCTTCTGAGGGTGCTGGGGTTGGCGCTGTAGGAGCTGGAGGTACTGCTGGCGGTGGGGGTACTGGTGCTGTCCCTGTTGGTCCTGGAGGTGCTGCGCGGCCGCGGCCGTATTTAGTTCCGCTCCTTGAGCAGGTTCTTGGTCTCCCGCCCTCTATTGGTCCTGCTCCTCCCTTAGAGTGTCCACAGCCTGTTCAGTCGCGGTCACAGTTACAGCCCGCCCCCCCCTGCCTACTTCTTCTCCCTACATTGGTCCTACTGGAGGTCTTGCTGAGCGTCGTGAGCCTGCGTCTCGTCCTGCGTCGCCTGTTCGTGCTGCTCGCACTAGTTGTCGTGCTCCACGGCCGTGTCCTCCTACGGTCCCACGCACACACTAGATGGCACTGCGTCCTTCCACTGCTCCTCTGCGTATCCCGTTGCCGTCTCCTCCAGAGTCCTCTCTTCCTGTCCTTGCTGACCCGGAGTCTGACTCTCTTCATGCTGCCAGTCCTGTCACGCGTCTCCTGGCTACTGTTATCACTGACCCTTCCTTTGAGTCCACTGCTGCGTCGGCCCTACTTGCTGAGCTTGTCAACTTTGCTACTCGCTGTCGTCTGGACTACGCTGCTAGTCTTGTTGCTGAGTCTGGGTCTATCTGTCCTCCGTCCGTCGGGGGTGAGTGTGCTCTAAGCACGGACGTCCTAGAAAACAGGAAGGAGGAGTTCTAGTGTTTTGCTGCTGCTTTGCCTCATCTCGTGTCCACGGTGATTGCCCCTGAGGGAGACCCGGATGCACCAGACATCCCGACTCTTTGATCGTACACTGAGGCGATCGAGGGTCCCTACTCCTCACAGTAGCACTCAGCCATGGACGCAGAGATGGCTTCCTGGAAGTCCACAGGCACCTACGTCGACGAGGTTCCCCCACCTGGGGCGAACATCGTCAGTGGCATGTGGATTTTCAGGGTGAAGCGACCGCCGGTTTCTCCGCCTGTCTTCAAGGCACGTTACGTGGCTCGAGGCTTCAGTCACCTGCAGGGAGTTGACTACTTTTAGAAGTTCTCTCCCACCCCGAAGATGACCACTCTTCGGGTGCTGCTGCACATAGCTGCTCAGCGCGACTACGAGCTTCACTCTCTTGACTTCAGCACAGCTTTCCTACAGGGCAGCCTTCACGAGGAGATCTGGCTGCGCCGCCCACCTGGCTTCACTGGGTCGTTTCCTCCTGGTACCTAATGGAGCCTCCCGCGGCCAGTCTACGGTCTCCGCCAGGCGCCCCGTGAGTGGCACGACACACTGAGGACTACACTTGCGGCTCTTGGGTTTGCTCCTTCTACAGCCGACTCGTCGCTGTTTCTACGCACCGACACCTCTTTGTCGCCGTTCTACATCTTCGTGTACGTCGACGACTTGGTCTTTGCCTTTGCTGACACTTCTGGACTCGCCCACGTGAAGTCCAAGCTGCAGAAGGGACACACATGCACAGACCTGGGTGAACTGCGCAGCTACCTTGGCTTGCAGATCACCCGGGACAGAGCACAGCACACCATTACCCTGACTCAGTCACACATAGTGCAGCAGGTCCTTCAGCGCTTCGACTTCACGTACTCCTCGCCTCAGGCCACTCCTCTGGCTATAGGTCACTCGCTCTCAGCTCTGCCTTCAGATGAGTCCGTAGAGCCGAGTGGCCCGTACCCAAAGCTTGTTGGCTGCCTCATGTTCCTGATGACCTGCACACGACCTGACCTTGCATACCCTCTTAGCATCTTGGCACGCTATGTTCTTCCTGAGAGACACCGACCAGTGTCAGAACATTTTAGCTGATACATTTGTGTAGGCTATAGTGGGGTAGCCCATAAGGGGTACAACCCAATTAGGGTTACTACTTGTACTCAACTGTTTCATAGTTCAACCATTCCTCACGTTCTAATCTTCACATGGTATAAAGCAGGTTCCCTAGTGGGAACGATTCCTTGGGCCCACCACTGGAAACTTTTTCTGATCGGAGCGCCAGTCGCTCCTGCTCGAGGCGCGCCTTGTGGGCCGCCCTTCTGTCGAGCTCTCGTAGAGGCCTCTCGCGCCGCCCCTAGCAGCCCCCTCGTTGCCCTTCCTGGCCCCTCGCAGCCCCTAGCGGCCCCGTTGCCGCCCCTATGTGGCCCCGTTGCCGCCCTTCCAGGTCCCTCGCGGCCCCTAGCGGCCGCGTTGCCGCCCCTACACGGCCCCGTTGCCGCCCCTCCAGGCCCCTCGCGGCCCCTAGTGGCCCCGTTGCCGCCCCTACGTGGCCCCGTTGCCGCCCTTCCAGGCCTCTCGCGGCCCGTAGCGGCCCCGTTGCCGCCCTTCCAGGCCCCTCGCGGCCCCTAGCAGCCCCGTTGCCGCCCCTACGCAACCTCGGCGCTGCCCCTGGCGGCCCTGTCGCCGCCCCTAGCGGCCCCGTAGCCGCCTCCCTCCATACGCGGCCCTGTTGCCGCCCCTACGCGGCCCCGTCACCGCCCCTAGCGGCCTCGTCGCTGCCCCTACGCGGCCCCGTCGCCGCCCCACGCGGCCCCGTCGCCGCTCCCTTTCCTACGCGGCCCCGTCGCCGCCCCTACGCGGCCCCGTCGCCACCCCTACGCAGCCCCGTCGCCGCCCCTAGCAGCCCCGTCGCTGCCCCTTCCTGGCCCCGTCGCCACCCCTGGCGGGCAGCCGAGCCGCCGAGCCGCCCAGCAGCAGCAGCCGCCCTTGGAGCAGCCGCCACTGCAGCAGCCGCCCTTCGAGTAGCCCCCACGGCAGCAGCCGCCCCTGGAGCAGCAGTCATTGCTGCAGCCGCCCCTGGAGCAGCCGCCACTGCAGCAGCTGCCCCTGGAGCAGCCGCCACTGCAGCAGCCGCCCCTGGAGCAGCCACTACAGCAGCAGCCGCCCCTGGAGCAGCAGTCACTACTGCAGCCGCCCCTGGAGCAGCCGCCCCTGGAGCAGCCGCCACTGCAGCAGCCGCCCCTGGAGCAGCCGCCACTGCAGCAACCACCCCAGGAGCAGCCACCACTGCAGCAGCCGCCCCTGGAGCAGCCTCCACTGCAGCAGCCGCCTCTGGAGCAGCCGCCACTGCAGCAGCCGCCCCTGGAGCAGCCGCCACTGCAGCAGCCGCCCCTGGAGCAGCCGCCACTGCAGCAGCCGCCCCTGGAGCAGCCGCCACTGCAGCAGCCGCCCTTGGAGCAGCCGCCACTGCAGCAGCCGCCCCTGGAGCAGCCGCCACTGCAGTAGCCGCGGAGCTCTCGCTCTACAGTGGTAGTGGCATCGCCGTTGCCGCCGTCGTCCGCCTGCCCTTCTCGCCACTAGTGAGCACTGCCCTGCCCGTACTGCTATTACTACTGCACTTACTACTGCTGCTCTTTCTACTGCTACTGCTGCTCCTGGCGTGGCCAGATGCAGCTCCAGCGTCGCCCGCGTAAGTCCCTCACCCCCCAACAACTTCGTGAGTGGTATGCTAGTTGGGGTTGTCGGGGTGGCCGTAGTGGGAGTCGTCCTGGAGTGGGTGGTTTGGCAGCTACTTCTAGCGACCAGGTGCAGCCTCAGCGTCGTCAGCGAGTGGTCCTCTCGCCCCAGCAGCTTCAAGAGTGGTACACGAAGCGTGACGGGTCACGGCGTACTGCTCGCTGTCCGTACGTCATTCGCACTGTTGCTCGGACTGGTCAGCCTTGCAGGACGCTCTGTAACGCACCCTCCCACTGCTTCGCCCGTCTGAGCAACGCCTGGCGTACGGAGTTTGGCGACGCGGCCGAGCTCCCCGACTTGGTGGAGCTGCTTCGGCTGCGGGTAGATATCTATTCTCTTGACTATGATGCTATCCTCACTGCCATGTATGCATTGCCTACTAGTGATGAGGGTGACTGTTACCTGTGTGTTCCGCCTAACCCAGGCATTGAGGCTGCTGCTCTAGATGCTGGTGAGGCTGCTGCTCTAGGTGCTAGTGCGTCTGCTGCCCCAGGTGCCAGTGCGTCTGCTGCCCTAGGTGCTGGTGAGTCTGCTCTCTCAGGTACTACGTCGGCTCAGGCCTTCCACACGTTCACCCTTGACTCGGGTGCGTCCCGCTCTTTCTTTCGAGACTGCACCACTGTTACGCTGCTCGGTCGGCCGGTTGCAGTCTCCCTGGCAGACCCCTCTGGGGGTCCTGTCCTTGCTAGCTTCTCCACTGTCTTACCGTGCCCGGCAGCCCCCTCTGGCACCCTGTCAGGTCTCTACCTCCCCTCGTTCTCTACGAACTTGGTGAGTGGAGTGGACCTACAGGATAGGGGGGTTGACCAGTTCACTCCTGCGAGTCAGCGAGTGACCCACTGCACGTGTGCTCGGACAGGCCAACACTTGGCCATGTTCACCCGTCGGCCAGGGTCGAGCCTATACACCCTTACCACCGAGTCTTCTCCGGCTGCTGAGTCTGCCTAGGTAGTTGCGTCGACTCAGGTGTTTGCTGCAGCGTCCAGGTCTGGTCCTGAGTCTCCTCCCTGCTCGTGTCGTCTGCTGTCCCACCAGACTCTCCTTTGGCACCACCGCCTTGGTCACCCCTCCCTTCCTCGTCTCCAAGGCATGACCTCCCGTGTCCTTGTCTCTGGTCTCCCTTGGTCTCTCCCTCCCCTACCTCCGGGGCCTGGCCCTACCTACGTCCCCTGCGTCGAGGGGCGACAGCGCGCCGCCCCTCACTCCTCCGAGTTTCCTCCTACAGAGGCTCCGCTGCAAACTCTCCACATAAACGTGTGGGGCCCAGCCCGCGTTAGTGGGCAGGGGCGCGAGCGGTACTTCCTGCTGGTGGTTCATGACTACTCGCGTTACACCATAGTCTTCCCCTTGCGCAGCAAGGGTGACGTCCCTGAGGTGTTGATCGACTGGATCCGCGTAGCTCGTCTCCAGCTCAGAGAGAGTTTCGACTCGGACTTTCCTGTTCTGCGTCTGCACTCGGACAGAGGCGGGGAGTTTTCCTCTGCCCGTCTGGGAGCCTTCTATCGTGCACTGGGCATCCGCCAGACCTTCACGCTTCCGGCCTCTCCACGGCAAAATGGGATTGCTGAGCGCCGCATTGGCATGGTCATGGACGTCGCTCGTACGTCCATGATGCATGCGGCTGCCCCCCATTTTCTGTGGCCATTTGCGGTTCAGTACGCCGCGCATCAGCTCAACCTTCAGCCCCGGGTCTTCTTGCCAGAGACCTCCCCCGCCTTGCGGTGGACCGGGAAGGTTGGCGATGCGTCTGCATTTCGGGTCTGGGGATCTCGGGCGTTTGTCCGCGACTTGTCTGCGGACAAGCTGTCCCCCCGTGCTGTTCCCTACGTCTTCCTTGGCTTCCCCCCTAACGCGCCTGGGTGGCAGTTTTACCACCCCACCTCGCGACGTATTTTGTCCTCCCAGGACGTCACCTTTGACAAGTCGGTACCTTACTACTGTCTCTTCCCCTACCGCACTGCGCCTCTCCCCCCGCCGCCGCTCTTCCTTTCACCAGGTCCTCCCCCGGTAGACTCCCTCCCCC